GCTATAGATAGAAACAATTACAAGTACGAATCGGCTGACCGTCAGGGGAGTCTCAAAAAACCCACACACGAATGCAAAGCGATCCGTGCACAGAAAGCTGTTTGTGTTTGCAGGTTCAGAGGTTTTAAACGGAAAACAAATATGTGAGGATAAAAAATACACATGTAAAACTTTTTTCTGTATTTGGATTTTATTTACATGTATATGAAACGGAATACATTTGTGTGTGCATTGAAAAACACAAGTGTGGATCTGGAAATACAAGTGTGAATCATTTTGCGGATCATGAAATACAAGTGTGAATCCTTCTGTGTGCATGTGTGTATTATGAGACTGTTCTGAGCCCATAGGGAACATCTGGAATCAACTTTGTGTGATTAATCCAGCCAGCACACGACTTAATGGTTCATTTTTCTTAATTTTGAGAGAAATATATGAATCCAATGCAATTTAGGTTCTCAAAGCAGCTGCAGGGGTTTAAGATGCAGAGGCTTACTCAGCATTGTGCAGTGTCAACAACAGAGGAAGACTGATGATTCTCTCTCCAGGAATAAATAATCATACCAGTAATGAAGAAATTGCTTCCAATTTTAAATAATTCCATTCAAGAAAAGTGACAGTTTATATACAATAATAATAATAATAATTTACTGATAGCCCCAATACAAAACAACTTTTGCATATGGTCATTTAGCCTAATACAACTGTATTCATTGCCACCCACATCAACAGATACACACACAGCATATAATATATATCGTATCAATGCTACATTAAACAGAAGCAATGAATAATTATCTTTGTTAGTGAACCTTAAATGTTCAAAATAAATCTGGTTCGTTGTAGCCTGACATCTTTTCATTAAAAGCTCAATATTTTCCATAAAATGCAAAGTTTATGACTCTTTTCTAATAGTTTTTCTCTCAGTCCTCCACACAGCTTACTTTTAATGTTCTGCACTATAACCACTAAATTAAATGCAATTTATGAGAGGTAGAAGTGAGCTATAATCCGGGAAGAGTCTGGTAAAATGTCCGACACACAACCGGTGGTTTTAATTGGTGCTTAATTGCAGCGTGGGCAGTACATTAACAACTGGTTACCTTGGCCCTCTCTTGAGATACTATCCAGGCAACTTCTCACGATGTGTGTGTCATCGCATCAAAAACTTTGATTAAGGCCCTGGGAAAAGCACAGACCCTGATCACATTTTTGTTCATCTTCCAGGCTGATTTAAATGCAAATTCATTTTTATTTCAGCTCCTCCCATCTCTTCAGTGTCTTGGTGTGGTAGCAGGGAGGGAGGGTTTGGAAAGAAAGAGAGAAATTCTGCCCAGGTAAGCAGATTAAGTTGGTGAGCGTTTGATTCTAAAGTAATTTGAATAGCTGTGTGATAGCCAATTTGGTTTAATTAGCTCTGCTCTTCTGAACACCCGCAACTAGATTAGCGAGTGATATTAAGTTGTTTTGCTGCATTGGGCCCCCAAGTGCTGCTCCTGCAGCTTCATAACTCTGGATTTACCTCCAAATGTTAATACAACACCATATGTGGTTTGCGAAATATGCAACGAGTTTGGCTTGGTGTTTCACAAAGCAGGCACGAAATATGGCCAAGAAAGTGGAAAATATTACCCAGGCTAACCCATCCTGTTCCTCTACGCGTGAGTGCTGTGACAAAGATAGTTTATTAGCAACGCTATAAGTGTATGATTATCAATATGTATAAGGGCATTTTGCCATAGAGCAAAGCCCCAACAGGCTATGACAGTCCGAAACAAACTATGCTTCTGCTTCATTGGGGGACAGCATTAAGCAAATATGCCCTTTCCCTTGGTGCTGCCCTGCAAAGCTGAATCTGCCAGAGAAGTTGAATGTGTATTTGTGTTAGCTCAGAGCAGCACACACTCTGTCCTGGCCTCTGCAAGCTTTTGTAAGTCTGTGCGGCTTATGATTTGTGCCCCAGCAAACGTATTGATTCTACGCCATTTCAGGACTACTACTGCTGTATTGCACACTTTAACATTCTCACCTATAATACACTTGACAAATGGCTTTTTATTTTGAAGTGCTACTTGTCAATACTATCATCACAAATGCACTGCGCAGTCGGTCTTACATTCTCAACATCCTCATTATTACCTTAACGTCTTTCCTGCTTATTTGTCAATGTTATCTTATGTTTCAGCTAGCATTTCTCTGATGCAATGTTAATGAAACAAGCACAGGATGAGGCATCAAATGTTGATTGCGGATGTTATTCAGAGGGATTTTACACTGCTCCATGATCCAATAAAAATTAGGGAGGTCTGTTAGTGGAAATATAATCAGGCTTTTTATCCTATACCACATTTAAGACATGCTTGAAACAATCAGGCTAATATTTCAAACCCTATTTTCAGAGAGGGCATCAGTGAAGTTGAAGTGAAGAAACACCACTTAAGAGTCAAGAGATCCAGATACGATTACTGTCAGTGTCAGTTAGCTTACCCTTGCCTGACTGCTCCTTTCCCAGCAGGGTGAACACACTATTGTCTTGTTCACCGGTTTAGGCTTCGCCGGGTTCATTGAAATGTTTGTACTGTTGTGTCTTCTTCATTCCTTCTGCTTACTTTGACAAATGCTTGGCTTTAGATAACACCAAATTAGAGGTTATGTTTCCCTGCTTAAACAAGTTATTTATGGGTATCACTGCAGTACAAAAGTTAATGCTGCGTTTGTTATTAATTCAAAGTGGCAATAGCATCGTTCCCTCCCTCTGTGCATTCAAGCTACTGAGGTGGGGAAAACAATGAATGCCTGCACTTAAATATCTCTTTAGTTGCTAATGAGCACGGGAAACCTTTATGCGAGCAGCTTAAACCAACAATTGGTAATCTACTAGTGTGCCGATGATTTAAAAACAGGCCATGCTGAAAATCATCAAGCAACTTTAATATGTTTCTTGTAACAGTAGTATCTGTTAACCGTGGGAGCCATGTTCATTAGGCGTCCAGGCACCATGGTTGGAAAAAAAAAATCATATGCTCGACTTAATAACAGCACTCTGCAAAGGCTCAGGGAAGAAGATGATTGTACATAGTTTAAAGGCTTCTAACAAAGCCCCTTGTTTTCTTTGACCTTTAATTTATTTTAGAGCTTTGTACTGTTAGTGATTTGACCATTTGTCCTTGTTTTTATTATTGTTATTTTCTCTTCCATCACTTTTCCATTCCCTTTTTCTCTTTTATTTAATCAGTAACCTAAGATGAGTCTGCATACAAGGATATTTGATAAATCTGCACTCAACATTTTGCCATTTTAGACAGATACAGGACATTATAAACAGCATACCAGCCCCTCAGTTCAGGTGTAGAAGTTGGAGGTGATGCATGGTGAAATAAGATGAATTCTGCAAGCCTGTAATATAGAAGACATTAAAGGTGGGTGGGGTATAGATAAGATAAGTTTGTGCACAGATGGAAGGCTGACATGCAGGTAGGCCATCCAGTTATTTTAGCCGGGCCGGCTAAAATGATTGGTCATGCTTTTTACAGCTCCACGGCTTCCACAGATGACATCTTTTTATGGATATTTTTGTCAAAGCACTTAAGATATTCATTGCTATCGGGATGAACCCTCTGGAGTCGGTGGTAATATTTTCGATTATAAGGATTATAACGACTGTTGTGATGGCAAATGCTGCGGCTGCAATGCATTGTGGGGCAGCATTTTCTCCTCTCCTTTTGGTTAGGGAGGTCCAGTGGTTCCTAAGCTAAAGGAGGTTATAAAGGAAGTTTGAAACCTCCTTTCCTTTCATTTGGAGAATTGGAACGGCACTTATCATGGCTGCCAGTGACGTACTTCCGGGTCATTTCACTCCGTTAGGAAGGTTCCTAAACTAAATGGACTATTGGAATGCAACCCTGGGCACAGCAGTCAATATGGCCGCTCAAAGCAGCTTGACTTTATACTGTGTGGGATTGGTGGATTCGTGTGTCCGTCAAGGAAATCTCGGCCGGCAGACTTCATGGTCTGAAATGACCAATGGACATCGAGAAATCACTAAGGACCTACCCACCAAGTAAACAAAACATAAACCACGTGTCTCCCATCAGTTTACGTCTGTGAGGAGAAAGAGAGAGACAGAAAATGGCTTTAAAAAAAACGTTACAGTCGCCGACTTCGCTAGAGATTTTTTGCTAGGTGCAGTGAAGATAGAGCCTCAGAACCTGAAGTCTTCGACTCTTCTGAAGAAGAAGAATACAAAGACAACAACAAGGATCCATTTGGACATGGGTAAGTGTAAATATTACAGTAATAGTGTACTGGCAATGTGTGGGGAATACCGCGAAAAGTAACAATAGGTTTATTGATATATATTTTTTATCGATAGTCATGAACTTTTTCTTGGGACAAAATAGACTCTCCATTAGCAAACGTTTACTCTGTGTTAACGTTATTTTGGTGTGTAAAAGTGAGATTACATGTGTAGATGATTAAATTAATCATTTATTCGTCCCACAACGGAGACATTTACAGTGACATGTTTTTGCCATCGTTTATTTTATCATACTGTTCTGTACAGATGAGACTTTGTCATAGATGTATTTATATGTGTGCCTGTTATTATTTTACCGTCCTGTATAGATGAGACTTTGTAATCAGATGTAGCCTATGTATATGTGTGTCTGTGATTTTATACTGAATATAAGGTAACTGGAAATACCTGTGTGTGTGTGTGAGAGAGATCGAGAGAGACTCCTCAGGGCATGACATTAAGGATTTTGGGAGATGGCCCTGTGGGCCATCTAAGCTAATTTACAGATGGCCCTGAGTCCAATAGAGATGGCCCTGAAAAATGCGCACGGACGAAATGACACACGAAAGGTTTGGGGGACCTGCAGGTCTTAGATGCTGTCTGGTGCATTCTCTAGAATTATAAGATGAACCACCACAATATTATATTGTTCAATTGTATTCTTAATTTCACTTCTTCTTGTGTGTGTTTGCTGATTCAACGACTAATAGTCTTTCAAGAAAGTGTCAATGTCTGACTCGTCTATGTCTGACTCATCTGAGTCGTCAAGAGCTTCAGCCAAGCGCTTCTCGCCAGCAGCCACATTCTCTGCCTCAAGTCCGAGCTCGTCAGATATGGCCTCCTGGCGCACATTCTCCTCCTGCTCGGCTTCCTGATCCATAAGAACCAGGTCTTCATAGAGGTCGTCCCGTATCTCCTGCTCCTGCTCCTTCTGCCACGGGTTGAAGCCAGGGCGACGAGCCCTATTTCCTGAGGTCCACCACTTCTCCACGGCTCCGGCAGCATCAAAGTTGTCCATTGAGGGGCCCTCAATGGAGGAAAACATCAGGCGGCTGAGCTGCTCAGTACCCAGACAGGAACGCCAGTCGTTCTTCACCCTCTTCATGCAGCTGAACCCCCGCTCACACACTGTAGTGTTGACTGCCAGAACAAGGTATATTTCAAACAGTATTGACAGCCCCTTATACTGTTTGCATCTCTCAGTGTCACACAGGATGCCAGAGAAGATCTGTGGCATTCGAAGTGTGCGGGCTGCTGCATAACTCTTGTAGAGGATGAACTCAGACTTCAGCATTTTAGTTGTAACACTGTGCTCGTCCATCAGGGGCTGATAATGCTCACAGATATCAGCCAGCTCCTGTCTGTCAGAGGGCCACTGACTGGGGTTGAAGATGGACAATTTTGAAGGGACACTCCCTTTCTGGAGATCTTGGAATCTTTTCTCCAGGTGCTTGATGAGCACATCTGCAAACACATACACAATGTCAAATTATAATCCCTGTCTCTGGACCACCATAAAAAATCATTTATATCATAACAAATGTGAAATTATATTCCTGTCTTTGGACCACCATAACAAAATTATCTATTAAAACATGTTATGCCCATATTTACTTATGAAGAAAATATTTACTTTTGAAGAAAAAATATTGAATATTTACTTTGAAGAAAATATTATTGGGCACATACCTATGACTTTCTTCCGGAGAAAGAGAATCTGCCCTTCGTTGACATACTTGAGTTTAGTCCCTCGGAAGAGGCCGGTTTTTGAGACTGCATCAATGACCTCCTGCATCCCCTCAGTTGGTTGGAACTGCAGGTCCACTAACTTCAGTGAGCATGTCTCCAGGGCTTCCACAGCATCACATACAGTCAGGCTGTCCTTCTGGAAGTTCAGTGACAACTCAGAGAGGGCTTCAAAAGTGTCACGCATGAAATAACTGAAAAGTACATTGTCATAGTCCATGAGGAAGGTGAGGATCCTGTACGCCCTTCCTCGCACCTTTGGGCTTGGCTTCGGTCTTCTCTCAGTGCTTATGAGATCCTGGAAGTAGGTCACGAATACCGCGTAGCTTTCGCACACAATCTGCAATAAAGATAGCAATTTTATATTTTATATCCTGATGAGATTTAATTATCTATTAAATATTTGTTTAGACCTACCTTGTTGGCTTTGTGTATGTATGGGAGAAATCTCGCCCCAGCAAGGTTGGTTGGCTTCAGCACTTTCTCCTCCAAGGCCTCCGCTACCAAACGCAGCTCATGTAAGGCTTTTGGGCTGAACTTATAGTGCTTGTAAAGCCACTTAAGGTTCTGATGAAGTGCCTTGAGCTTGTCAAGCTCCTTGAGGCTGTCAACGAGCCCCCTCTCAGCACGGTGGGCCACACAGTGAAGGGCAATGAGATATGCGATATCTCGTTTGAGGAGGGCCTGGACACCATTGTCTTTCCCGAAGTTAACAGCAGCCCCATCTGCCCCGAACCCCACCAACCTCTTCTTCCAGTCGTCCACTCTACCCCGTGCAAATGCTGTTTTTTAAATTTAAAATAGCACATGTCATCAGCAAACAATTATTATTTTTTTAAATAGATAATCACATGTCATCAGAAAAGAATATCTTACCTCCCATAATGAGTGCATATAAGCCTTTAGCATTGGCTCGCTTGACGTGTTCAATGCTAAAAAACACATTTTTTGGCCTCTTGGTGGAGTCTAGGTACCGTACGTACACGATTTCTTGTTCCAGGATCGCCTTGTCCGTTGCCCCATCTATCATGACTGAGAAGAATCGGGCACTCTTCACCTCAGCCAGAATAGGGTCATAAATGAACTGGTAGATGTCCACAAAAAATCTAAAAGTAAAAATATCAATTAATTTAATACATTTGCATGTGGCAGTTGTAACATTTTAAGGTGAAATAAATGCAAGAAGTACCGGTACCAGTAATTCTAAAAATTAGTTATAAAGATATTTACTTTTGAAGAAAATATTTACCGTGCGCAGGCTTTGTCGTGGTGGTAACACAGGGGCATCTTGGCACCGGTCCTCCTGTTCAGGTCCACCAAGACAGGAACATCTGTAAAGGGCCTCTCACTCTTGACCACAAAGTAGGCCACATGGAAAAGGTTGCTCATGCCAGCACGAAGTTCATCCTGCATCTTAGAGAGGCCACGCAGTATAGGGGCCACCACAGAATTCTCACCATCAATCTTTGCTTGGGAAGCTGCAGCACACAGCTCATGCTTCTTGCTTGGATCATGACAATCCAGTAATGTTTTGCGGAACGTACTGTTGCCCTTGTACAGACTGCATGTCCTGAAATTAGGGAAACATTTAAATAAGCAATGTGATTTTTTGGGGTTTGGGGCAACATTTTTTCTAAGTCGAGACATGGACAAAAATTGGCCAGAACTCCCCCTGTACATAGTGGAATTTGGGGCCAGAATATAGGATTTTTTCTAAGTCAAGTACATATACAAAATTGCATAATTATATAATAATAAGTTCATACATACTTATCACTGATGGAAGGGAAATGTCTGCAAGGCTCACAGAACATTTCATTCTTCTCTTTGTCAAATCTCAGCCATGGAAACTGGTCCAGCCAAGCTGGGATGAATGCCCTTGCCCTCTCCTTCCCCTCATAGTCTCTGGCCTTCTGAATTCTCTCTTCTTCTGACTGGGATTCTCTTTTTGATTCTCTTTTTTGGGGGGGGGGGGCTGCAGCTCAGTCTTTCTCTTCTTCTTTCCAGGTTGTTCACCTTGCTTTGGTGGACTAAGAAACATTGTAATACACTCTCACTTTAAATTATTTGATCATTATGTATTCAGCATCAGAATCCGTAACAAACTGAAATTCCCGCGAAAATGTGGTTGCATTCGATTCATTGTCCGGGTAGTATTCAGTTGCGCCACTTATGTGACAGACAAGAATAGTCAATTCTAATGTCTAACACTTAATGTGGAGAAAGAGATGTCCTGGATGGGTTGATTGTGCGTTGATCTGTTGGTAATGCCTCGGGGTTCCGGTGGGCATGTAAACAAATGCATAATGCTGCGCTATACTTTGTGGCCTCACCCAGTTGCATAGCGACACTCATTGTTTAGGTGTCTTTTAATAAGCAGGTAGTCATATCATTAGCTAGAACTAGCTGGATCTGATCGATATGGACATAAACGTGAGTGAAGTCTAATCTGACGGGAGAGAGAGAGATCAGCTGCTGCTGACGAGTCGACACGCAGCTCTGCATGATCACATGCAGCGGTGAGCGGACAAAACACACACTTCAGGTTAGAATATCACACGTAGCTATTTTAATTACCTCTCAAACTACCTAAACTAGTTATAGTAGATGTGTTTTAATTTTACTGTCGGGTCAGTCATTACTGGATCCGCGAGCTGCATGATACTGACATAATAGATTGCCCGATCGGGCAACCAGCAGGTGAGGCTTCATTGCCCGAGCTAAATGCTAGATGGCCCCGGGCCATCGGGCCATCCTTAATGTCGAGCCCTGCTCCTTCTCCAACCTCCCAAACTTTATTTTTATGTGTGCATTGTTATTTGTGCTTGAGCAACATTTTACTTGAACTTTATTTCAATGAAATTAGTTGTAATTATTGTCCTACATTTTAATTTGTTTTACAGAGAGGTTTCACAGCTGCCTGGGCCTAGTGACCCACAGGCGGCGTTTATCCAGCAGCCAGAACATCCATCTGTGCCGGCCCCCAGGTCAAGATCTACCGTGGCTCAAGGGCCTTCACCAGAGCCATCACCACCAAGGACCAGCAGACCAGCATCACTACAGCTGCCTCCATCTCCATCTGCGGCTGCCACCAGGTCAAGATACACCTCAGCACAAAGGCTCCACCACAGCCATCACCTTCAACCCAGCCAGCAAGGAGGTCTCGTATAGCACTTGTACCCCCCACCTACACAGCAGCCCATGCACCATCATCCCCATCTTCACAGCAGCCAGACCCACTGTCTTGGAAGACAGACAAAGACCTTGACACTGTCTTGACATTTATAATGAATAGTTGGTTGAAAGTTCTGATGTTCAATATTGTAAATAGTTAGATTGTCCAGTTTCTTATATTTATATTAGGGCTGTCAAGTTAACGCGTTGTTAACGCGTTAATAACGCAAACAAAAATGAACGCCACTAATTATTTCAACGCGATTAACGCATGTGTATTTTTTTTCCTCGGCCGCCCCGTAGTTTCAGAGCGCATCGAGTTTAAAATAGCCTACCATCTACAACAGGGGTGGCCAACCCGCGGCTCTCGAGCCGCATGCGGCTCTTTGCCTAGTTTCATGCGGCTCTTCAGTTCATATCGAATTTTATATGTGTGAATTTGGGAGAGAGACACTGACTCCTGACTAGTGTTGCACGGTGTACCGATACTTGAAAGGTACCGCGATACCCTGCCGTTAAAAACGTTACGATTCCTCCGTTTCATTAGTATCGGTACTTTAAGAATGACGGGGGAAAGTACTCCGGTGAGAAAGCGCCGTTTTAATAAGAGCCGTGTGTGTTCAGCGCTCTGCTTCCACTCCCTGCACTGCAGCCGTGCCTGCAGTCCCGCCCCTCTCAAGCACGCTCTAAGTCCCTCCCCTCTCAAGCACGCTCTAAGTGCCTCCCCTCTCTCGTGCATGCGCTAGGTGCCAGAGCATGTGAGAAAACGAGAAGCATGGTTGCAAGTGGGAGTGCAACTGCCGCTGCGCCTCGGCTTGTTGACAAAAAAGACGCCAGAAGCGAAATTTGGAAGTATTTGAGCGATATCTCTGACAGTGAGGGCAAGCCTACGGACACCACGAGGCCTGTCTGTAAGACATTTATTAATTTGATTTAATACGAATTCTTGTCATTTATTTTATTTATTGTTCTCATTGTTTAAAAGGTTGTGTTATGGTTATGGTTCTGGTGTGAAATAAAGCACAATAATTACATTTAAGACTGTTTCCCTTTTTTTAAGAAAAGTATCGAAAAAGAATCGGAATCGCAATTCTTGACTTGGTATCGAAACCAAAATGTTGGGATCGTGACAACACTACTCCTGACCGTTAAACCTGATATTTAGTAGGTCTGTTAAGTATTGAATGCTGATAATTCTGACGTAATTTGGCCGGTCAAAGTTGTTTAGGCTCGGATAAAATCGCTCCGTTACTTTCGTCCCGTGTTATGTATGTTGTGTATGTGTGGTGTCAGTATGAGAGGATGACAGCGCGTATAATTTTGATGTGGCCCAAGAGCCAATCACAATAATACCTGCGATGCAGTGAACCAATCACCTTTGAGGGGGGGGGAAACCTATCGTTGATTAAACATTATCCAGTGTTTCCCCTACCATTGTCTTGGAGGGGCGCTGCTTCCCGCCAACGGAGCCCCGCCTCCCCCCCTGATATTCAAGGTGTTTTAAAAAAAAAATATATATAATTTTATTTTTAAATATATATATAGCACCAAATTGCAAATAATCTATAACTACTGTCACTTTTCACATTGAACATGTGCTCTTTTATTAAATAAACTAAACGCTTTCATCTTAAGTTGTGGGTTTAGTGTTTTTGACCCTAAGAAACACTGATGCATTAATCAATAACAATAATCCACAGCTCCTCTCTCTGCTCCAGAGGATTTAAAAAATATATATCCCAATGCCACAAAAACGCATCAGTGACGTGGTTGAAATCTTGTCTCCAGAAAACAAAAAACGGAAACAAGCGGTATCAGTGACTGTGTGTTTGATGTGGCTCTTTGCAGTAACATAGAAAAAAATGTGGCTCTTAACCTCTGACTGGTTGGCCACCCCTGATCTACAAGCTGATGCTGACAGCCCCGCTCCTGCCGCCCGCTTGTGGCAGACCACATTTCCACGCTCACCGGCAGGCACCGACTGGCTATTGGGAGGACCGGGAGGGTGTGTGTATGTGTGGCTCGAGCGAGCGAGAGAGAGACCTTACGTGCATTGTTGTTGTTAGCATCTGGTGCTAGCTAGCTGCGCTAACGGATATAAGGAGCGACATTTCGCCGACAACTGCGCCGAGCACTTGACTTTATGCAGGAAGCCAGACAGTGGGACATTGTACGAGAAGTCAGCACACTCAGCACGGATAGTGCAACATGATTGCAGCGTCCAGGCAGCTCCCGTTCGAGCATATGCCTTGAGTTGCACATAGTTCCAACGATCCATCACACACACACACACACACACACACACACACACACACACACACACACACACACACACACACACACACACACACACACACACACACACACACACACACACACACACACACACACACACACACACACACACACACACACACCATTTTTATTGTATTAGGTTCCAGGTTGAATTGAGGCGAATATTTGTAATGTTCAGAAGTTGTTGTGTTTAATATTCATGAGAATATTTTTCATTGTTCAAATGATAATAAACATTAGCATAAAGCATATTTGTCCACTCATATGTTGATACGAGTATTACAAATTTGAAAAATATTCCTCTAAAGTACATTTAAAACAGATCAAAAATGTGCGATTAATTTGCGATTAATCGCGATTAACTATGGACATTGGACAATCATGCCATT